GGGGTGGTTTGAAGGTGGGGAGAATGGATATTAAAAATAAAAAAAATTTTTTTTTTTTTTTTTAATTTTTAAAAAAAAAAAAAAAAAAAAAAAAAAAAAAAAAAAAAAAAAAAAAAACCGTCACAGCACCTCCATAAAGTGGGTTTTTATATAAACACATATTGACATGGACAAGACATAATTATATTTCCAGAGTTATGTGATTCAAATAGAGACCCCACTTTTTTCAAATTTTTGAAGACAATAATTTTTCTGAGAAATTTGTTTTTCTACTTTGCAATAATATTGTATTTCAAATTTCAAACTATCCAGGCATGGCAGATTCTTTCTCATTTTTTGTTTATAAATATGTAATCTTGCTAATGCAATAAACAGATTTAGCAGTTTATACTTTTTCCCAATTTTTCCAAAAATAATATCTACTGGACTAAGATCTATATTGAATTGATGTAATCCACTTATCCATCCACAAAAAGATGTCCAGAAGGTATTAACATAATCACATGTTACAAAAAGATGGAGCAATAACTCTATCTCTACATTGCAAAAGTCATATTTGTCCTCATTTACCAACCTAATTTTTTTAGACAGCAATTTGTACTCAATATCCGATGAATTAGTCTATAATAGAACCATTTTATCTTTACATCAATTGTGACAAAGAAAATAGATGAATAATATTGTTTTCCATACTTCGTTATCTGCCGTGAAATTAAGATCTCTTTCCCATTTATATTCACTTGACAATTTCGATTGAGTTGTCGATAAAAAAAAACATTGTAAAATTATTTTGCTCCTTTCTNCCGTTTATACTTTTTCCCAATTTTTCCAAAAATAATATCTACTGGACTAAGATCTATATTGAATTGATGTAATTCACTTATCCATCCACAAAAATATGTCCAGAAGGTATTAACATGATCACATGCTACAAAAAGATGGAGCAATGACTCTATCTCTACATTACAAAAGTCACATTTGTCCTCATTTACCAACCTAATTTTTTTTAGATAGCAATTTGTACTCAATATCCGATGAATAAGTCTATAATGGAACCATCTTAGCTTTACATCAATTGTGACAAAGAAAATAGATGAATAATATTTTTTCCATAGTTCGTTATCTGCCGTGAAATTAAGATCTCTTTCCCATTTATATTCACTTGACAATTTCGATTGAGTTGTCGATAAAAAAACATTGTAAAATTCTTTTGATCCTTTCTTACTTTTATTCAGCCAGTAAAATAATATTGGTTGAGAAGGCAGTTGTTGCAAAGAGTTTATGATAGAATTAATAGTCCATTCACTCAAAATAGCATTTCTTAAAGCCATAAAAATTGTAAAGGCCGGTCTGAAGTTGTATTTAATACAGAATTCGTCATAGGATATCGTTTGACTTAAATACTCCAGTTTATGTAAGTCAGGTGATTCACAGTTTTACGCGACATACAAAATTGCTAACGGAATTCAGAATTATATACCATTACCCTAAGTGCTGCCTTGCACCCAGAAAGACTAATGACCCCAAAGCAATCAGAGGGAGTTGATGCAATATAACATACCTGAATACTAATCTCGTAGGCACTTTCACCTTCCCAGATGGAATGGGTAAATTGCGTGCCAAAGATGTTGTCAGCGTTTTAGTACAGGAAACACAGTTGCATTGCTAAACCAGTATCTGTTAATGAATTATTGCTTTAGGTGAGAGGTTTAATTGCAGTTTTCTATCAAATGGCCATTATGTAACCACTCCAAACGATATCTGTTGCTGCCATCCAGTGACTCACGCTCAAAGGCATTATAAAAGAAAATAATTGTGAGTTATTGTGCAAAAAAGATAAAATCATTTAGACATTTGGATTGATGATTAAAGCTGTAAGTTGTAAGGTCATACGGATATGGAATCTTAGTACATTGGTCATAGCAGATTATGGGGTCTTGGCTGTTAAATTGGTCATTTGAAGTAACTCGCTACGACCGTGTGGAAGTGTCTTGAAGGGATAGAAGATAAGCCAAGGCGGTAAGCACCAGCTTTGTCCAAAAGTTATTTTAAGGATGTTGTAAGCCTTAATTATCATCCAGATTCCAAAAATGAGGTTTTTCCTGCATTTTATTATTCAAATTATCTTTAAACTGATTTAAAACAATACAATTTTAACAACTTTCTATTTGGAGGTGAGATACCAATCGGAATGTGGCGTAATTTCATCCCTGAACAAGATTTAATCACGAAAATTGGCAAAGTTGACCACGAGTGTATAGGCTACAATCCCGTCATTTTTGTTTAAACATTTTTGATATGGAGTTATGAGCCCCTATTTACAGATTTTCATTAAACAAAGGCAGTATTTTGCTTTAACAACTATAAAAACTGAACGAAGGCTTTTAAGAAAAATCGCTGGCAGGGCTTTAGAGCACTAAATGGAGTTAGAACGGTGTTCGTGGGTGCTCAGGTAAAAGATAAATTTAGGGAACCGATTTTTTAGTTTTTACCTCCAAATTGCAATAATGACGTCACACGCAAGATGGCTTGTGTGTATAAATGTTAATTATATTTAGTCACTAAACACTGGATATTTATATGTTATCTAAAAGAATGTATGCTAGGCAGTGAATAAGGAGTTTTTAGCAATGCCCTAAAAGTTGTGTGTTAAACCAACAAGTAGGGCCTATGCAGTTACTTTACAGGAATGGCTATTATTCAGTTTATTTCTACTCTCTTTTTAAATGTCGGCTGAGTTATACATATGTTCAAACAATGAAAAGACCAAGCTATACACGGGTACGTTTATCACATGTATGTGTACGAGTAGAAGCTGTATTTCAGTGAAATATCTGTATCATTATTTCTAACATTAAATGGAAAATAAAAAGACCAATTACTGTTGTAAGTGGAGTGCAATGTCTGTTTGAGCACAAATAAAAATATATAAATTAATAGTAACAAAAATAAATAAATAAATTAATTAATTGATAATTTATCAATAACTCCTAAGAAAACCCAGTGTATATTTAAATGAAACATTTAGGGATTAATATTTACAGGCACTTCTATTAATCCACTCTATTACCATTGGCTTTCATAAACCCATCATGACTTCTGACCATCATTTACATTATGGTCAAACTAAGGCAAAATATGTCATTCAATCAGCTCATAAGTGTTTTATTATAATTCCGTGTTTTACCTTCAAGTAGCAGCGTACTGTTAGCACGATAGGCGACTTTTTTAGGTTTGGGTTTCTTCTTGTTATGAATTATAAGTTTAATAAATTACTGGCAATATTAAGGAGAAAAGTTAATGCCATGTTCAAGGAAGCATGGTTTAGTGTAAAGAATAGCAAAGTCGCTGAAAGACAACAATGACATGTACCACAAAGAATTTTACTGCAAACATAGTATCTCGTGTAGTTTCCGCGAACCTGGGTGACGTCATCTATTCTTTAAGGTACTGACTCATTCAGTTTCTGCAGTTCGTTGATGAATCTGTCTCTCACCCCTCGACTGGAAACTGCTTCAGCACCTCCATGTACCCGGTTGGACCTCTCTTCCTTACAGCACGGTCAACAGCATACCAGCAGTTCTCTATGGGACTCAAATCTGGGAAAAGGACCCCTTTAACTGCTTATATTCCTTGTGTCTGAAAAAATGTGTCTGTAGGCCTGTCTGTAGGTTTAGAAATACAACCAGCGCATATGTGTGATTGCGTATGTTACGTTGTAAAGTGCCACTGGATGATCTTACAGACAGTTCCTAGAGTAAGTCAAAAGTGAACGGCTTTGTCTTCCTGCTTCCGCCGAAAACAGCACATCCACACACGTTATTAAGTCCTCCCTAAGGCTTTAAGACTGGGCTCCCATCTCTGGAGCGATCTAACAGGATCGGTCCATCTCCAAGGGGTTTCTCGCTAGATTTCTTTCAGCTTAAGTGGCTCAGATGTCTGGGACGCCTACTCAAGTTGCTAAAATATAGTTATATAATTACCCCTAACAACTTCGGTAGGCGTGACAGACTTAAGTTAATTGCAATTAGACAAGAATACCCTCGGAGGTAGTTCGATCCAAAGTTAGCACGATAGTCTCTGGGAATGGTCTCCAAGACAAGGCATTGGCATCTGTCAAATAAACTGAACAAATCTGACGTGAATCCGAAAATACCAATGGTTGTAGCATTATATTTGATTGTGGCATTTCACTCTGCTCAAATCTCAAGATAGGGTATACAAATCTAACCATTTATTTTGCATTACTCGGGGAATTTTGTCCACTCTCATAACTTGAAAGTTGTTTATTGGTTTATACTACAGCTAGCTGTATAAAGTATTCTTTACAATTATTACTATATGCGCTTTGAAATAATTATTACATTTCTATGGAAGCTTAATAAGTAGATTGGTCACATTTCCTTTGGCACAGATTAAGGGTCTTGCCAATCGAATTGGGCTTTTAAATTTACTCTTTACAAGAGGGTGAATGTGTCTTGAAGAGATGAGGGGTTTTAGCTACAGTGGTGAGCACCAATTTTGGCCAAAAGCTAAGTTTAGGTTATGCTTTAAACCAATCAACATGCAGGGTAGTGTGTACTTTGATCACGTTCCTATGTAGGGGTTATTATTATTATTTAGCTTTTTGTCTGTTTCTATTTTAAATGTAAGCTGATTTTTGTACAAACTATGGGAAGACGAATATAGACCAAGTAGTACGGGGAAAAAGACTAGAAATTACACACGAATATAAACATGTCATTTTTTTTTTTTTGCTATGTTTATTTCAGGATCCACAAAAATTATAAAATGAAGAATATAGTCCGGGATCCCAGAGGGTTGAGCATGCCCGAAAAGATCACCAATTTTCTTGTACCTGGCAATGGCCTACATGGTTACCTATGTATGAAAATGGCAGTCTGCCGTATTACCAGTAGTGGGTGTGGTCGGGGGGGTGGGGGGGGGGGCAAAAGGAACCCCTAGAAACCTATTGGGGGTTTTTCAGCACGGTCTCAGGTATATTAAATATATTTTGACAGACAAATTGAGTGGTGGGGTGTGGCCGGTAGACACTGATTTATAGGGGATGGAAATCCGTCTAGCATGACCTAAAAGTTAAGCCTAAAAAAATAACTGGAAAATGTTCCTTAGAGTCCCAGGAAAGTTGAATGACCATCGACAGACAATTTTAGTGGTGGGTAGTGCCCGGCAGACACACCCAAAGAGCCACACCCAAAGAGCCACACCCTTAATGTACAGCTAGCATGCCTAATATATATCTAGCATGCCCCAAAATTTAACCCGAAAAAAATAGCTGGAAAATGTTTCTTAGAGACCCAGGAAGCTAGAATGACCACTGACAGACAATTTCAGTGGTAGGTACTGCCTGGCAGACACACCCAGATGCCACACCCAGGTGACTTACCAATGGTTAATTAATCTATTTTTAACATTCAAAGTTAGTGCCTGTTTTTTTTAAAAAGTTTTTTTTTTTAATCTCTTAAGAGATTTTAACAGAGTTTTGCCATCAATGGAGGTCACGTGGTCTACAGACAAACTCTGTTAAAAACATTGTGAATAACTCACAGAAATATAATATATTCTGTTTTACCACAAAAAAGGCAGTTATAGCTATTATTCTGATATCTTAGCTTGTCTTTAGACCACGTGGTAAGTATGGGAAAATTGTTGTTTACTCCAGGAAAATTCATTTTTTGGCCGAAACGAAGAGTTATTATCCCTTAAAGGTTGTGTTCCTCTGGGTGTGCCTGCCGGGCACTACCCACCACTTTTATTGGTTGCCAGTAGTCTATACTCTATCTTGGAATTCTACTTAACATTTTGCAGCCATTTTGAAAGAGTTACATTAAGGGTACAGCTAGCTGTACATTAAGGGTGTGGCTCTTTGGGTGTGTCTGCCGGGCACTACCCACCACTTAAATTGTCTGTCGATGGTCATTCAACTCTCCTGGGACTCTAAGGAACATTTTCCAGTTATGTTTTCAGGGTTACTTTTTAGGTCATGCTAGCCGGATTTCCACCCCCTATAAATCAGGGTCTGCCGGCCACACCCCACCACTCAATTCGTCTGTCAGTATCTATTTAATATACCTGAGACCATGCTGAAAGACCCCCAATAGGTTTGTAAGGGTTCCCCTAAAAAGTCTTGCTAGCTGGATTTGAGGGGCCTATGTTTTGGACCCCCCTGACCACACCCACCACTGGAAATACGGCAGACTGCCATTTTCATACATAGGTAACCATGCAGGTCATTGCCAGGTACAAGAAAATTGGTGATCTTTTCGGGTATGCTCAACCCTCTGGGATCCTGCAGCTGCTCTCATAGGGTCCCCTAATTTTCACAAAAATAAAATGGTGATGGTGACTTATTTGTTAGATGATGTTATTGCACGCTCAATATATTGTTCAAAAGATGGTTTTACACAACGTATGTATATAGGAAATATGGGGAATGAAAAGGTTTGTAATTTTAATCTAGCTTGTTTACTTCGAAAGGGAAGCGACTGCAGATGTGTTGCTTTTATTTTATTGCTCTCATGTAAAATCTACAATACAATGAAGCTGTTCAAAATTATAACAAAATAGCCTGCGGTAATCCTCATTCTTGAAACATATTCTTGTAACGATATAAACGTTGTTGATCTTCAATCATCAAAAATTCGATGTAATACCCCAGGTGCAAAGCGACTAAGAGCATAAAGCGTCCTTTTCAGTGATACGTTGAAGTGGGGCGGTTAATTGATTAAAAATCTAACCAATAAGAGCTTGGCTTCGTTCTCAGTAAAGAGATGTGGTTGATCGCATTCGGTGCCTTATTTAACCACTATATTCGAAGTGGAAAACGAAGACATGTCACACCGTCAACTTAGTGAGCACCACTGCCGTCTGAAACGAAAATTGTGATTTTATTGGAATTTTATTTATAATGTTATGAATATCTGAATGCATTTCTGAACGACATTGTCATATCATGAAAAAAAAATCCATTATCTCTTTTCATGGGGGGAGGGGGGGTGGATGAACATTTAAATAAATATATTAATGAAAAACAGCACATACCTGGCACGCACACATTGACGTTGTTGTAGTCAGTCAGGTATCTATTGTACACCTGGCCGTAAGGACAAGGTCTGGAGAAGGCGTTACCAGCTTCATCACACTGGATGTAGCAGCGTGGGTCGCTGTGCTCGTAGTAGAAACGGTGGGGAGCGTAGACCTGAGTGTGCTTGCCGTAGTGGTCCACGCGGTACACGCTGTTCAGGGGTGGGCACTGGACTGTGTACATGAAAGAAAAGAGAAGCAATAACCAAATTTATCCTGTTATCGGTGTGTAAATCACATTTACCGGTGTTCTCCATTACTATACGCCGGTCAGAGTTTACGTAGGTGCACTGCCAGAATAAAGCAGATCTGAACTAGAAAAGCACACGTAGAACTCCGACGAGACAAATAATTGACCACTAATTGACACTGATTTATGAATGGAGAATCACGTGAGTTATATTGTTGATTATGCTTGATGATCAATGTCTGATTTTCTTATCACACCTCTTTGAAAATAGGCATGCTTTAATGAAACTGTTATAAACCATTCTCTCCCATGATGGGAAACAGTGAGAGAGAGAGAGAGAGAGAGAGAGAGAGAGAGAGAAAGAAAGAGGGTTGATCATCATGTTATATACTCACAGTATTCATGGCTGCACTGGTAAGATGGATGGTACACCGGTGGTGGGTAGGTAGACGGCGGGTAGGTAGACGGCGGGTAGGTTGTCGGTGGGTAGGTTGTCGGGTAGGTTGTCGGGTAGGTTGACGGCGGGTAGGTTGTTGGGTAGGTTGTCGGGTAGGTTGGCGGTGGGTAGGTTGTCGGGTAGGTTGTCGGGTAGGTTGACGGCGGGTAGGTTGTCGGGTAGGTTGGCGGTGGGTAGGTTGGCTGCTGGTAGCCCTGCGGTTCGTAGCTTTCCTGCTGTCCGTATCCCTGGGGTGGGTAGGGAGCTGATCGAGCAGCTGCCACACCGATGGCGACAAAAAGAACTTGCAAGATCTTCATTTTCTTTAGACTCCTCTCCTGCACAGTGTGATTGAAGTCCCCTTCTGTGGATGAACCGGACTGTGACTGGTAAAGTGCGCTGCAAAAATGTGGCTTTATTGCCACTTATATACCTGTCCATCTAAACGCTGATGTGAATGAAGGGATCGGATTTTCAGCCGAAGGCTCCTTTAAACTCATTATGTAATCTTAATGAAGAAGGATAATTACGTTTTGTGCGCCTTGGGTGCTGTATTTGGAACCTTTGCCATCTTATTGAAATTCGTGTCAACAACGGATGTTTTACCTTCCTCCAGAACGCATTTATACAGATATGTTTCCCCGTTTCCATAGTCAGGGTGACAGACAGGGATGTGTAGGGAGGTATTCTTAGCTGTGAAATTGCATATAAAGATTGAATTTTCAGCGTTCCTCATATTTTCTGCTTTTTTACTAATTGACGGCTAGTCGTATCCTAATTAAGACTTGCATTCTTTGCGAGTTACTGTCCTACAGCAGACAAAGGGACCAAAATAAAATCATTACCTGCAGAAAACAAACCACGTTTACACTTTCACCTTTACAGATGGGATATGGGTGTACCATAGAATTAAGAAGTGGCCAGCTTCTCGGCACAAGTAACGTTCTGTTGCCAAGTCAGCTCTCCCAAATAAATTCATGCATAGGATGGGATTTTTAATGGCAGTATTCCATCAAAACCTCATTAAATCGCCACTCCGACCAATGTCACGCCATACCGTCAACATCTGAATACTGCAACAGGCTACAAGATATCAAAGACGACGTTTGCCAGCTGTAAAAAAGCAATTAAACCATTAAGTCATATGAATGATGATGAAGGCTGTAGGCTGTGAGTTCATCAGGTTATGCAAGTGAGATGAATGGCCACGTTTCTCTTGATGCAGAATGTTCAGGATCCTGTCAGTTGGACTAGTTATTTAAACTTATTTGCATCGAGTGCCTGGAAGAGTCTGGAAAATCTGCTGGATTTCAGAGCCAAAATGGTGAGCAACGGCTTTGTTAAGGTTACACGTGCGTTTAAAAGTAATGAACACGCATGAGTAGTACGTTTAATGGTGGTTGCCCTGTGTAAATTGTGACTGATGATAAAAGCTGTGAATTGATATGGAATCGTATTCAATTTGTCACCTTTTTCTTGATGCGGATTTGATGATCTTGTCATTTGAACTCGTCGCAAAGTACTCGTGGAAGTGTCTCAAAGAGCTGGATGGTACTAAGGTCGAAATGGTAAGTACTACAGGTAGTGGAATTAACCTTATTCGTTTAACGATTAACGCGTAAAATTCGTGATCTTTTTCATTATGACTTTTTGAAAAATATATAACTTTATCTGAACTAAATAAAGCCAAGGATAACAATGTACGTAATAACATCAAATAAGACGGAATATGATCTCATAATATCTGTTGTGGATTTTTTTCTCGTTTTTTTTTTTTTTTTTATTTTAAATGACTTAAAGAATAAGTGGTGCGGAATATTGTGAGCTGGAAAAAGGTTTTGTATTTAAGTAAAAAAAGAAAAGGCAACGAATACTCTTATTATATATAGAGACTTGACATTTAATATGGAATATTTCAGTTTCAAAGGTATGCCTATGTAAAATGCGCACTTAAAAAAAACTCAGATCTCAAACATAATATATCTGACCGGAGAAGTGTGTAGTCAGTTGCGTCGCTACTAGTTAATTGACTACCATGTCTGTCGCACTGCTGCATTGTGTAATATGCAGTGATTCAATGGGGTAGTGTACCTTTGGGCTGGTCAAAGCTGGGAATCGAAATCTTACCACTAGGGTACAGGACTCACTGTCCTTCCAGATATGTTGCTGCGACTAAACAAAAACCACCCAGTCCGTTCAGAATGAGAGGTAAATTGCCACCAAAACGCGTTTGTCGAGGCCCTTAGCGAACACCACCCTGGTTTCAGCAGATAAAAATACCAGACGACCTCTGCGGAAGCCACTGTAAACAGCAAAACGGCGTCGTCTGTTTCCCTAATGAATTGTGGACCATGACCGTTTCTCGGTAGAACACTGAAACCTCGTGGCTTTTTTTATTGGGGTCACGTCAGCTTTCACCTGCACCGCTCAACTAGTCGAAACAGAGTTTACAGACATCCTGAAGAGGCCTACGACGAAGTGTATGCCACGTCTAAAGTGACTGGGGTCACCGACAGCGTCAGTTTTTGGAGTGGATACCACAATGTTGCCAAAACACCAATGGTAGTCATCCATGAAAACCTGAACCAGATCAAATAAAGGAATAATCTGGGAACCACTTGGCAATCGTTTGATAGGGGACACCTTAGGAACAATTTTAGGTTTCATGGTGAGGTTGTCGGTTCACATAGAGCACTTAAAATAGCAGGTATCTTACAGAACCAAGAGAATGAGCAGCTACCTTGGTTATCAAAATCACCATATTTGTACCACATAGACAATATGTGGGTAGGTCTTAAGAGCCAACTTAAGAGTATGTACCCATCTGTTGCCAGTCTCACTAGTGGAGTGTCATCAACCAAAAAAAGAAAATAGAGCAAAATCCAACACAAAACCCATGCAGCGCGAGAAAATAAATTGTACAAGAGCACTCTCTTTAATAGTTTCAAGTTCTTTTAAATATGGGGGTGTCATAGAAAACCCTGAACTGCTAACAATAAGAGGCTATTTCAAAATTTAGCAAACGAGACATCGAGTGATTTACGTTGTTATTGTACCACCGGCGTAGGCGCTGGCGGTACAGATGTTTTTTGTCCCGACACGCATGATCCGCCGCCACGTCACTGTTATCGCTGCTCCTCCTAGAATACAAAAGCCTGCGTACCCACCTCTTGGATGTAGGTCACATATAATCTCAACTCGATCCACGTTAATTTTGGGCTTTGTCGGTGATCGGGTCTAGATGTAGCGCTCGTCGCAATGCACCCTTGTCCAAAATTTGTAAAAACCAAAGGAATTATGGAAAAATTTTCTACAAATGGCTGGCCGAAAGTCATATGTGGATATTTCAATTATGTCTTGGATTTGACCTTTGGTCTTTATTTCAAGGTCAAACGGGCCAAATTTTTTAAATGGGAATTTTTTTCTGCCGATTTTCAGAAACTTCACAGACTTAACCTATAATATTATGAGCAGGTGTTACCTTTAGGGTCATCTTTTTTCTTTGTGAGTTTGGGGTCAATCGGTGAATTTTCAAGGGAGAAGCGGCCATAACATGCCGAAACTTTAAAACTCTCTAACTCTGGAACCGTAAATGCTAGAGATATCTTGTTTTTTTTTTTTTTTTTTGTTTTTTTTTTTTTTTTTTTTTTGCATTTTGTAAAGCTTGTCCAGCGCAACACTGGAAGTGGTGTCCGTTTTTTTTTTGTTTTTTTTTCATACTGTTTATGAGTTGCGCTATATCAAAAAGTACAACGTGGTGGTGAAAATAAAATGACAAATACGGTAATATGCCATAAATTTCGAAGATCACGAAAAGATAACATTCGGCTGAGCGAGGGTCAGACAATACGGTCAAAAATTGCAGAATTTCATGTAATTCGAACATCTGGAATTATGAGCACCTCTCATTTCATGAATTTCGACCAAAACAATCTTTTCGTTATTTAATTAATTTTTTCTGTGCGAAATTCATGGCACATTACTGTAACTCCAAAATTAGCAAAGATACACCCATTTTAGTCCCTTATATCTCCAACACTGGCAGCGATAGGCCCATAGTTACTATTGAACTTCAATAGGAAGTCATATAATGGCAATCTACCCGTGACCTTGAAGTCGGCGTTTGACCTACTTTTCATCATTAATTGAACTTTGCAAGATTTCCGTTCCTTATATCTCCAAAACTGGCAGATATAGGGCCATAATTACCATTGAACTTCAAAAAGAAGATATATATATATATATATATATATATATATTGGCAATCTAAATGTGACCTTGCAATTGACCTTTGACCTACTTTTCACTATGAACTGAACTTTGCAAGGTTTCCGTCCCTTATATCTCCAAAACTGACAGAGATACGCCCAAAGTTACTATTGAATTTCAATAGGAAGTTATATACTGGCAATCTAAATGTGATCTTTAACCTGCTTTTTGCCGTGTACCCCCATACAAATTTGGATTTAAACGTTTATTTTTCCCCATGATTTTGTTTTAAATGGTAATTTTCAACAAAAATATTAAGAACTCTTGTTAACTGCAATTTTTTAGAGCTTGTCAAGCACAACATTGGAGGTGTTGTCCCTGTTTTGGTTTTCCACACGAATGCGCCTATGGTTTTCCATACGAATGCGCTTACTCCAGGGACACGTTAAGCACCTATACGCATCGTGGGACACCACCTCCAGTACAGTTCGCATCGCTCTAGTCGCCGTATAAACCCAAACCCATTTTGGAATTAACCGCTAACTGTAGTTCAAACAGCATAAGAAGTTTTGGTTATTTGTAAAAAAAGGTTTTCAAAACATTATATAATGTTTTTCCAGAATGTTATAAAAACGCTGATAGAATTTAACCTACTTATGTGCCCTTTTTTTCTGCCCCATATATATACAGGATGGTAAGCTAGCAGAAAAACCCATTCAAATATCATTTTTAGGGTAATATTAAACAATGCCTTCTGGCAATTTTCTTAATTTTACTGTTTGAAACTATATGCTGGTATTTGATTGGTTTTTGTGGCAAAAAATTGTCTTTGTAAGGAAGGACACCAAGCGTTCGAGCAGGCTGCTCCATGCCTTCAACAGCTCCACACGTTTACAAGGGGGAGTGTTAAGCCAAATTGTTGAGCCAAGTTTGTAATAAACTTATGGGACCGGTGAAACTAATCACATAGCTAAAAGTGCGACATTTCTAAGCATGTTAAACATTTTTATTTCTGCTGAAAGAAGCATGAAAAGCTAAACGTGTTGTTCATCTACCCTCTACCAGGGCGACAGATTGATTTTTCACAGATATTCACAGATATGTCTCTTGATAAATAGACAGTCATTTTGGTCTGATGTCGCCTCAGCAAAAAATGTCCACAATTACTGCGGCCCTGGTAGAGGGTATTGTTCAGCAACTCCACGCGTTTAGGAATTCCACACCTGTAGTAGCTCCATATGTTTAGCAGCCTCACGCGCTAATTTGTGTACATTTAAAATATCAGAGACGAAGAATTGGGTCTCCTAATTTCCACAAATATAACATACAGGCCTACCCAACTACCAGACTCGGCACCGAATGATCCTGAATTCGCCGGTAGATCAGACCACACTACCCGTTTTCAAGGTGTGTGTCAGATCACATTACACAGTATCAGACGCGACACCGCTCTTGCCCAGTACGCGATGTGATAGTGACGATTCTCAGCAGGGTTGAAAAGCATTGCATCACTACTCAAAATTTGTTCAGGGTATGATACTGTGTAATGCAATCTGACACACACCTTGAAAACGGGTAGTGTGGTCTGATCTACCGGTGAATTCAGGATCATTCGGTGCCGAGTCTGGTAGTTGGGTAGGCCTGACATAGTGACGGTGACTAATTTGTAAGATATTGATGTTATTGAACACGGGATATGTTATTCAGAAGGTGGTTTTACACAGTATGTTTATATGGGAAATATGGGGAATGACAAGGTTTCTAATTTATATCTATTTAAACTCGTTTCCTTGAAATGGAAGCGACAGCAGATGTGTTGCTTATATTTTATTGCTCTCAAGTAAAATTACAATGCAATGAAGCTGTTCAAAATTATTTCAAACTAGCCCGTAGCATTATTCATTCTTGAAACATATCCTTGTAACAATTAACGCTGTTTGTCTTCAATCATCGATGTTGAAACTGTCCTAGGTAATATCCGAGGCGCAAAGCAAGTAAGAGCATAAAGCGTCCTTTTCGGTGATAGGCTGAAGTGGGGGATTTAATTGATTAAAATTCAACCAATAAGTGCTTGACTTTGTTCACAGTAAAGAGGTGTATTTGGGCGTATTCGGTGTCTGTATTCGAAGTGGTAAACGAGGAGATGTCACACCGTCAACTTAGTGAGCACCACTGCCGTCTGAAATAAAAATGTGATTTTGTTAAAATTATATGCAAAGTGTTATGAATATCTGAATGAATTGAGAACGACAGTGTCGTATCATAAATAAAACAATCCATTATCTTTTTTATGGGGGGGGATGAAAATGTAAATAAATATATTAATGAAAGACAGCACATACCTGGCACGCACACATTAACGTTGTTGTAGTCAGTCAGGTATCTATTGTACACCTGGCCGTAAGGACAAGGTCTTGAGAAGGCGTTACCAGCTTCATCACACTGGATGTAGCAGCGTGGGTCGCTGTGCTCGTAGTAGAAACGGTTGGGAGCGTAGACCTTAGTGTGTTTGCCGTAGTGGTCCACGCGGTACACCTTGTTCAGGGGTGGGCACTGGACTAGATGTATGGAAGAAAAATAGCAATGATCAAATTTCTCTTGTCATCAGTGTTCAATCATATATATTCGTCGTTAACACGTCGGTGAGTTTAGATGCACTGCCAAAATAAAGAGGATTTAAACTAGAAAAAGCACACGGAGAGCGCAGACCTCCGTCAAATACTGGACTAAAACAGCTGTAACTATTGGTTATTGAATAGATAAACAACACAAACTAATCACTTTTAAATTAGCCCATTTTTCTCCTGTTCTGAAAATTTTATAAAAATCCATCCATACTTTTTTTAGTTAGGATGGTAGCGAGCAGACAGTCAAACAAAAAATGGTGATGAAAATATCACCTCCCTGTCGAAGATAATTACGCAAGAGTTTTGATGTTGAGTACTCTGGACGGCCAATGTCTAACAATCGTCATCAATATATAGGTCGTTTTGAAGAAAACAGAAAAGTAAGAAATAAAGTGAAAGATACATCCACGAATTTTCCTCTCTGGTGACAAAAAGTTAAAAATGTAGTTTTTAGTGTAAATCCTTTAAATAAAATTCACGTCTTGCTATTATGGGGACGTTTTCGTATTTAGTAACGGAAGTTTTAAAAATATAAACCCTTTTGGATAATATTTGCACTGTTTTAATACAAACAGAAAGTAGACTGTGCTAAAGGGGTATTACGAGATGCACGTTTATTTTTACTGACACATTTTGGATCTCAACCTCATGTATATTTTTTCACAAGGACTGCCAGCGAAGGCGTTGCAAATTACTTTTTAGAGAATCAGTTTTGTTGTGTTTCATGTAAAACATTTAACTATGCATGCACTAGCTGTCCCCAAGTTGTCTAGCTAATCATGGACGTAACTGAACTGAAGATTTTATTAATGGCTAAAATATTACGGAAACATCAAACAAATAAAAATGATGACCTACGGCAAAAGACGTGACGAAAGTTTTATTATTTTTTTTAATTCAGCAGCACCACGAAAGTTGGCGCAAGCAAATTATTGAGTTATTAAAAATAAACAATCTAGACATTTTTCTGAGATGTTAAACATAATACTTGCTTCCTGACAAGCTGCAGATTTTCAACTGTGGTAAAAATAAACAAGGTCGATTGGAGAATGTGAGCTAATTAGCAATCGACAGTTGAGAAGGTTTAAAACTTAGACCGTTTATTTTTTGTGCGGTAACAGATAAATCTAGTTATTATTATTTTCTATTTTTAAGATGCTAGACGTACCCCTGTAGTAAACTTCCTCGTGGACAGACAATTCTTCCAATCGGTTACTTTTAATAAGGTTAGCACCTATATATAGTGAACGAGTTTTATGTTTTTCACGCTTCTAGGAAAATAGCCATGTTGTAATGTTGTAATCAACCTATTGAAAACCAGCCCTTCCATAATGGGGACAGTGCACACACACAATATATATATATATATAGAGAGAGAGAGAGAGAGAGAGAGAGAGAGAGAGAGAGAGAGAGAGAGTTGATCGTCATGATTTATACTCACAGTATTCATGTCTGCACTGGTAAGTAGGTGGATGGTACGTTGGAGGTGGGTAGGTTGGCTGTTGGTAACTTGGCTGTTGGTAGCCGTAGCTGCCCTGTTGTCGTTCTTCTGGGTAGGGTCTGGGTGGTTTATGATCATCACCCCACTGAGCTGAAACAACACCAGTCACACCGAGGGCGACAAAAAGAAGTTGCAAGATCTTCATTTTCTTTAGACGTCTGTGCTCTAGAGTGAGATTGAATTCCCCTTCTGTGGAACAAGTGGTCTGTGATTGGCGCTGGATATATGTGACTTGTCCCTTATATACCTGTCCAACTAAACGCTGATGTCAATGAAGGGTTCGGATTTACAGCCGGAAGCTCCCTTCATTCTTTAATCTATGAGAAAAAGGATGGTTACAAATGCGTTCGCCTAGGGTGCTGTACACATGTATTTGGAACCTTTGCCATCTTGTTGAGATACATCTCAACGAAGGTTGTTTTATGATCCTTCCGAGCGGTAACAAGTTGGTGCATTGTACTCCTATCAATCGCAAACGCACCTTTAAAATATAACAATTTTAAATAATGCAATGTCATTGGTAAAAAAAACTCTCCAAACGTTTGGAGCGAGATAATATATTGTTTAAAAGTGTAAGTGCATGGGGTGATTTAAAGAAAATATTAATTACCCGGGAAGGCCAAAATGTGCAGTATATGAAAGTAGGAGTAGTTTTCAAAATTCATTATTAATTGAATCATACAATCGTTATATCTTATTGTTTATAAAATATTCCAATTAGCTTTGTTGTAATCGACCAAAAAGCTTTCTGGTGGATAATTAATTATGTTTCACTGTTTTCATAGTCGGGATGGCAGAGGGGGGGGGGGCGTTCTTAACTGTAAAGCTACTTAAACAGACTACCTGCAGAATTCAAAGCACGTATACACTTTCACCTTCACAGATGGGATGGGTGTACAATATAGTAAAGATTTGACCAGCGTCTTAGTACAGGAAGCGCCGTTTTGTTGCAGCCCTTCTCAATGTATTCATGCCTAAGGTGAGAGTTTAAATGGCAATATTCCATTAAATCACCATTATATCACATCTCTGGACAATACCTCATCATGCTGCCCACACCTAAATGCTGTAATACACTGCAATACATAAAAGAAGACGTTATTATAGCCATTAAATCAAAAAGCCATTTTAATAATGATCAAAGCTTAGGGCTGTAAGTTCATCCTGTTATGGGATCTTAGTAGAACGTTTCTCTTGATGAAAAGCAGTGAGGACTTTGCCGGTTGGAGTTCTTCTTTAAACTTTTTTGCATCAACTTCTGGAAGGGTTTTGAAAATCTGCTGGATTTCAGAGCCAAAACGGTGAGCACCGGTTTTTGTTAAGGTAACATATGTGTTTAAGTAATCGCCGTGTATGGGTAGTACGTTTTATGATGATTGCCCTGTGTAAATTTGAACTGCTGATCAAAGCTGTAAATTGGTGTAGGTTCTCAATAAAGTTGTCACGTTATTCTTGATACAGATTTGAGGATTTTGACATCGAACTCGTCGCATCGAGCGAGAGAAAGTGTTTCAAGAGCTAGCTCCTTATCAAGTCAAAATGGAAGTTCTAGTTTTGACTCAGATGTGGTTTTAAGATATGCGTTCAGTGCATAAAACCACGGTGTATTTTTTATCATGGCTTTCTGAAAAAATATTATTTGTTGTGAATAATGAATCGATGACGAATTGATAATACAATAAAATAGAAATATCATAGGCAGTCGGATGTTTAATTTTTATTTATTGAATGACAAACCCGTTACCCCCTTTGACTTATAAAAATAAGGCTGCATCGACCTGGTCGAAGTGTGATGCAGATGTCTTAAGTGATATTTTTGTAGCAACTCTGGCTCTTTATATGACACCCAATTCTTAAGAATGCACCTGATGGATTGAAAAAGAACGTCAGGAGTACGGTGTACGTATACGCATTTTTATGAGTACAAGTTACATGTATCAAAAATTAAAAAAAAAACATACATTTGAAATAATGACTGAAGCAAAAAATAATAATAATAATTTGGAAGGCGTAAATTTATCCGAGGCTTGAGTCTTATTCGGATGTGCTTGCATTATCCAGAGTGTACGACCCATTGAGAGGAGCTAGGACCCAAGAGATTATAGTACTATTTCTATTTGTTTCATATATACTGATTGTGCACCAAGGTATGAAGGACAGCTAACTGCATTCCATTACAACTTGGACTGATAAAACGTTTTTTAATTGTCCAAGATTGCAGTTCACTTTTCCTGCATTACGATTTGTTTTATGGTATTTATACGACCTTCCTACCACAGGAAATGCAATATTATAGCTATACGAGCAGTAGTGGGAACGAAATTGTCTGCGACGTGAGATTTGATACCAGTATTCTAGTATAGTATATTTTTTAACTAAATGGGAGTCGTGATAGAATAACATACCGTTAAAAGAAACATCTGAAATTGAAAAAGTACTTATACTTATCCAATATATCTTATGTAGGACTAGATACAAAATGTTTTGAGCCTAATAAATGCCCCCAGTCAGATACATGTAGTACCATGTAACATTTATAATGAACGACAACTGACGTACAAATATCTGGGATAACTGAGTGCAACTATTCATTTAAAGCGCTTTTTACACGTGGAAGAGGCATACCACCAAGCACCCACCCCAACAAAATCCGCCATCAGATTCTGCTACGACACCTGATACAAGGACAACGTGCACGTGCCAGTCCACACCAGCCGAGTTGCGGATGAGGCCGTGGGTGAGAGTGGTTATGAAACTCGAGATCCCATCACCTATTAATAATTATGTTCTTCAGAACCAATGACTTCTACCTCTTTCCCAGGTAAGAGAAAAACAATTTCATGACAAGAGATATGAGGATGATGATGATGATAATAATGATGAGATGACCGCTGCCGTGGAGGGCTGGTACCCTCTACCAGGGTGGCAGATATTGTAGGTACATTTTTCTTATGTCCACCCTGTAACCTTTGGCCAGACGGAAGCATTTAAATCTGCACGCGTGCAGGTGGCATTGCACACGCTCTCTAGGGATTCCTCAGTTAATTTTAAACTGAAATAACAAGTTGTTGAAAAGGGGCTATTTTTTCTGTCACAAAAGAGCAAGTGATTAAATTCAGAGCAATTAACTGTCTTGATTGCTGTTAAGGGGACTTGGGTTGGGCCTGTTAAATGGTAGTCCATGGGCAGTTATGCAAACAATTACCAGCCATGTAATCATCCTTGAGATTTCATTACAGGGTCCCGAGAACAGAATAACCGTCAATTTATCTAAAGACATACATGTATCTGTGAATATCTAATGAAAAATCAATCTGTGGTTGAAATCTACCACCAGGGTATCAGCGACTGGCAAACTAGTTAAAACAAGCGACTGAAGTTGGAATGAGACTAATATCAAAGTGGCATAATAATAATAAATACGAGCTCTTTCTGTGTGTTACTCAAACTGTTTATAAACCCCTTCGTATATACTCTGCAGTCTACATTATTATACAAATTTTCTTACCAAGTGAATTAAATGATTTTTTGTGCCATAAAGTAGAAACAATGCGTTAGATTTTCTTAATTCGTTATTCGTGACATCTTATATATGCTTATTTTGATTAGTAAAACCCAGTATATTTTAGTTGTAGAGTTTTTTTTTTTTTTTTTAATAAACTGTTTACGACAGTTATACTATTCACGCGGAACTGCTGTTGGTACCCCTATTATAATAATCTGATTTGTTTTATTCCTTCTTTTTCTTATTTTTCTGCTTTCTTATTATTTATTTATTTATTTATTTATTTATTTATTCATTTATTTATTGGGGGGGAGATTCTTATGTTTGCAGTTGTTGGACAAGAAATCTTAAATCTCTTAATTGCATCTCGAAATAATCTTGAGATGCGTTTCTCATTTAAGTATTGAGACCTTGGCGGTTTCTTACATTAAGCATTTTTTAAATCAGGCTTGAGTGTAAATTTCGGGAAATTTTTGTGTCTTGAGAACTAAAACTCTCGATTTTCACTGTGTTGAGTTGACAAAAGCCGAACACGTAAATTTAAAATTATTTAAATGCTTTATTGCTATTTACTTTAGATTCTACAGTTGAGGCATGCATAAAATTGTCATATCTTTTGTACTAAGCTTTAAAAGCATAAAGTTCATAAACTTATCATCTATTGTTCAATTGCTTGTGGCAGTTTTTATAACTTAAATATTCTTTCTAAATTAACATAATATCTTTTCCAGTGCAAAGCCATTTCACAAAGCTCAAAGCGATGTCTCCGTTTATGCGAAGGGTGTGGCACCTGATTGGTTAAAAATCAACCAATGAGGTGATAGCACGCATCGTGGGTATGCTCAGTCGTTGTCTTCCCGTGCAGTGTCCCTTATTAGGTGCTGAAGGTCGACTTAGTGTCTATTGCTGCCGTCTGGAATGAAAAGATATACTGGGATTCAATGATTTTTTAGAATCTGTTGGAAGAAATATTAGGTACGACCAATCTCACCTCCATGTACCAATCGAACGTTGCCGAAATACTTTTTTCTTTCACATTTTTCTTTATCTTTTTCGAGCTCAAGTTAATCTTAATGTAAATCCTAATTTTTATGTAAATATTTTATTTTATAATTTTGTAATCCATTTCTCTGTACAAGTTTAAACTTTATGTTATAAATAAACTTATTTTATATTATACCGTATTGTAGTCAAATGTTTTTCCTAAGGTGCTTGGAAAAGGTTTAATTAATTGTGAATCTGTGACTGCACATACCTGACACGCAGACATTAACGTTGTTGTAGTCAGTCAAGTATCTATTGTACACCTGGCCGTAAGGACAAGGTCTGGAGAAGGCGTTACCAGCTTCGTCACACTGGATGTAGCAGCGTGGGTCGCTATGCTCGTAGTAGAAACGGTTGGGAGCGTAGACCTGAGTGTGCTTGCCGTAGTGGTCCACGCGGTACACCTTATTCAGGGGTGGGCACTGGACTAGATACGTGAAAGAAAAGAGAAGGAAATTTTTTTAAAAATAACAGTTTTTAGACAGTATTCAGTGGTATATATTTTTTCCAATGGGAATGCCATTCATACGTTGCGGTGGACGGATTATTCAGGAGAGGTTTTTAAAGTAGCGCATGCGCTGCCGTTGATTTTCCATGTCGACCAATGTCAGCTCTTCAATTCCCGCCTATTTAGAACCATTTCAACATATCTCAATATGCTTAGAC